TTTTCTTGAAATACCACTGGTGTTATGTAACATTTTGTTTGTATGTAATCAGTCAATAGTCCAGGAATGAAGATAAATGGCCAGAAACTAATAGATAAAGAGTTCAAGCCACTAGCCAATACCATTATATCCATCAGGAGCTATATAAAAGCTGAATATTCTACCTGATTTCCATGACAATCAAGAGAAGAAAGATCAAATGATGAGATTATCTGGTGTAACGCAGTAGAACTCTCTTTCTTAGCAACCACCATAAAGGTTTGAAAACCAGGCTTACTAGATGGTTTCTGAGGAATACCATGAACCTCCATTTTCCACCCAAACCGGAACTTAGAAAAGAGCAGACCTGAAAGAATGCATAAATGTCAAATGTATTTCTCTGCAAACACAAAATATTAAACATTGTATTTGATAAAAGAAGATGTATTAGAAAAGAAAGAGAAATAAGACAAGCCAAAACTGGTGGATAAGGATCCCTCCTCAAATAATCATGAAAACCAAAATAAAAATAGATATGAAGAAATACTAGTGTTATGAAAGTATCCATGTGCTTTAGCCCACAGGATTTTCGAGAAAGGTGCCCTTTTCCACAGCTAATAAAATGATGAGCAGTATTCATTAAAAATCTGGCAGTTCTTAGATATCCATAAATACCATAACCCAGAAAATAGAGCCCCTCGCAAGAGAGGCTTTGCATCCTTTGGCAAGGCATCACCCCAAATAGAAGAACAAAGACAACAGCCACATTTGGTGAAGTAACCCACTTCAGACCAAATAAGTTAACAAATTTTGTCCAAAACTTCCTAAGTTGTGGCACAATGTAAAAACAGGTGGAAATGAATCTTCTTCTCTCTAAAGCACATGAAACAGGTCATCAGGAACCTTCTCATGGTTCATGACTTTTAGGTGTAAAGAAGAGAAAAGAATCAAAGAAGGAAATTTGAATAACATTTGAATTTGAATTTTTTTCTTGTTTTCTTGCTTCTAAAAGTCTATTATACGCTCAGAGGAAGAGGGAGGCACGCCTGCCCCTT